ATGATACAAGGGCACATTCTCCATCTTATTTTAGATCATCTCACCAATATTATGCAGCTCCGAGAAGATCAACATTTGAACAATCACATGTTAAAGACCGCTTCAGTCATAAGAAATTGGTCCAGAGCTCAAGGAAGAAGAAAGAGGTGGTCAAGCAAGTTTACCGTGTTAAAAGAGATGGTCGTAAGAGTGCAACTTCAGATTTGATCTCAAATGAAAAAGAGCCAATTAATGTGTTGACATTGGCTACTAAAGACAATGAGACAAAGCAACCAATTATTGAGAGTCGAAGTGCCAAATCTGAAGAAAAGAAGTTGAGAGTGCACAAGGCCAAAAAGAATTGCCATTGGTCAAAACAGAATCACAGCCGAGATGCTCACTCGTCTTATCCTATTGGCAAAAGAGGGAACTACAAAAACTTAGTGCACATGAACTTGAAGAAAGGAACATGGCATGGGTTCCCAAAGGAAGTGCTCAAAATAAGAATTATCTGAAAGCATCCATTACACGACGTGCGACAAAGATGAAGAAGGAAAAGAGTGAAAACTATGAAGGACCAAGCCGAAGGTTTCAACATCTTCGTTCCACACATTATCCATGTTCTTCAACTATGTCATTGATGCCTATGCCATGGAATTAGTCATCAGGTATGATTGGTTACCCTCAATGGACTTATTATAATCCATGGATGCAATATAATTTCTTACATCATGAAAGGGTATTGCCAAATCACTATACATTTGATTAGCTACAAGTTTATTGCTGATCCAAAGGGCCGAAATACTTGATTTGTCATTTCATTTGTTTATTTTGGCTATATGTGCTTTGAATGAAGTTTACATAGTAATGGACGATATATACTTACCGTCCTAAGAAGATGCAGAATGGATGATGGAGTGTTGACATTGTCCTTAGAACCAACATGGTACAAGTTATTTTTCGGCACGCTAGCTATGCCGAAAAACAGGGGGGCATGTGTTGACGCTCAAAATTGGCACAGTTATAAAACTAGCATAGGTTATATCAAGAACAATTCAAACTTATGATTGGAAGTCACCTTGGAATGTCTCTCTTCGAGAAGATCAAGATGGATATCAAGATAGTCTAAAACGGAGCTCGGACTCAAAAGTTATGACAAGTTCAGAGATGCTCATATTGACACCAGAGTAAATAAAGGCATAAAACTCAATCAAGATGGGTCTGGTGGAATCTGTTTCAACATAAAAGTTGTGCGTCTCGTCGAAACGATTGATTTTGATATAAAAATCGTCTTAATCCGAGTTCGTATGCAACCTGTGGAGGCAAAACAAGGTCAGAAACAAAAGCTGCAGAGTCATTTCGGACCGACCGAGTTGATTTAATCGGTGAGACCGAGTTTGTCCGAAAATTTACCAGAGAGTTGGCAATGTTGACTCGGTAGGACCGAAGCAAACTAATCGGTACGACCGAGATTGATCCAGAAAGTTACAGAAAGTTGACCACGTTCATTCGGTGGGACCGAAGCAAACCAATCGGTGAGACCGAGATTGATCCCGAAATTGCCAAAGACTCCTATCTGAGTTAGGTTAGGGTTTTTGATGTTTTGGACGGAATTTTTAGTCCTTTTTTTGTTCGGGAAGTCCAGCCGCCTCTTATATATGTTGGGGGTGACGGCCAATTGAAACAACACACAATCGAACACATCAATCTATCATCTTTTACCTTTACCTTTATCTCCCTCCCTTGTTCTTCTTCTTCCTCGTTCTTCGTTCGTTCTTCTTCATTGTAGGGCGGCGAACCTCGAGGCCCTAGGGGCGATCAGGTCGACCTAGGGCAGCCCATAGCTTCTACGCGCCCTGACGGGGTCCCTCCCGGGCATGTGGGGTTTCGGGTCCTCAAAAGCGCCCGCCGGATTGTCTTGCGTACCGCGCTTCCGGCAGGTCTCCTTAGACGTGAGCTGCGGTGCATCACCCCCGGCGTCGAGAGTACACGGTGACGTGTTCGTGTGCGAACAAGGGCCTTACCCTTGATGTCGCGGATGTCGCCGCGGTGGGCGGCCTCGATGAACCTGCCCTCTGGCGGCCACCGGCCGCGGTCTGCACGAGCAGCAAATCCAAGGATCGGAATGCCGGCGGGAGAGGTGTAGCAGGTCGACTGGGTTAGGTTGCGTACCTTCGCCGAGGAGGAGCTCGAATTGGCATGGGAGCGGAAGGCCACGGGTCCCCATCCTCGCCGCCGTCAGCGGTGGTGGTGGCGAGGAAGAAGCTTCTGGAATGTTCGCGTGGTAAAAAGGGCGGGAAATGGGCGGGTGAGAGTGAGACCCAGTAGCAGGCCAAGACCCGAAAGCCAAGGGACGGCCACGGGCCCACGGCCTTTCCCTTGCCTTGCTTTTTACTTCATTCAAAATATGAATTCCGAATTTGAACTTGCTCTATCGACCTCTTCTTCGGTGACGATCAAGTTAATTTTATCAACAACATGTTGGACGACATCGGCGCGGAAGACAAAATCTAGATCATGTTGTTGAACAATGCGACTGAGCGCCCCTCTCGTAGTCTCAAGCTTTCGTGCCTGCATGTTACATCTAGTTATTTGCTTTGGTTGACACACAACATCATTATGTATTACTCCAAAAGTATAAGATGTTTTGGCTCTTTTTTTCTTATTCTGTAAAATATGTATCTAAATGTGTTTCACTATGTAGATTCACTCCTTTTAGCCTGTATATAGTTCACATTGAAATATCCAAAACATCTTATAATTGTGAATGAACGCGGTAGGCTCGACCCGGATTATAACTGTGCAACCCTCCGCTAATACCAAACCAATTGTAAACATTTACATATGTTCGCCAAAACATCCAAGAAATGAAAACCAAAATGTATCGTCTCACCAGTAAAATTGTCGCAGTGGGCCAATGGCACCTCAGTTTTGAATGCCTTTGCTGGTGTCTACGAGTGACAACGACAAACATCACAATGCAACTTTGGACCATGAATCTAGTCCCTCTTTCTCAAAAATATAAGACGTATTCGGCTGTTAAGTCTTCATAACGCAAGATTTTGACTACAACTTTGACATATTACATGTCTAAAAAAGATAGTGAAAGGACACATGAGAAATATATTTTGCAAAAAAAAAAAATACATCAGTTGTATACTTACATGGGAGATCCATATATTGTAGGGGAAATCTAACTGCCACACCACAACACACTAGTAGAATGCCCCGTGTGTTGCCATGGGCTTCTGAAATAGTTTGCTGAAGTCATATAAAGATAATGCATGTTGAATATCGCAGGTAGAGACAATATAACACGGTCACAATTACATAATAATTGAAGTCCACTTCACTTATAACGTAAACTGATAACAAGATATCAAATTGACAACGTATACGTATAAAGTGATGATCCAACTAAAAATCTATTACATATTATTGAGATCTACTTGATGCGCTTAAGAAATTCTCGCACAATATCAGACAAGTTGTCTCTAGCTTCATCCGGACGATGTTTGAGTAAGTATAATAAAAATTGCTTCCTCAACTCATACCCATCCTGCAAAAGCAATATATGTAGTTAGTACGATTACTTCACGTGGAAGGTTGTAAAACATGTGTAAAGCACAATACTGACCGCACTAAACCGCTACACAAGGTCTTTACCGTTCCAGCAGAGCGTAAAATGAAAGATAAAAAAGCCAGACAAATCCCTGCAAGTTACTAAATTGTTATTGTATTAAATATGGTGATAACAAAAAAAATGTTTGTATTCTGAATTTATTACCCGCCTACGCTCGTTGGAATACCATTAGCAATGTTGAAACGATAATTGTCCATAGACTGCTCCATGTTAAGTATGCCTGAAGTTTTTTGAGACTTAAGCCCATTGGACGGGGTGTCGAGCTTTGAACCCATTCCTTACTGAGAATTGGATGGTAAGAATAACAACAATGTATACTGGCACCTTACATATTGATAAATGATACTTACTCCAAACACTTGGCATCATCGATCGACATATATAGTTGCAGAGGCCGGCAAGCAATTCACGTTGATAGGTGGGCATGGTGGGAATTGGGCTAGGACATCTGTCTTTGACTACATCAGGTGGATTCTCAAGGAGCTCGAGATCAGAATTAGATAAACTTTCTTCATTGTCTGATTGATGGTATATCGGACATCCTTTTAGCTTACTCAGTTCTGAATCGAGCAAAATGACAACTAATTTCCACCAAAGTGTTTGATATCCTCCTGCAAGATATAAAAAACAAATTTACTATAACATTTTTTGAGATAAAATAATAATGAGATAATGTACGTCATGGTGAATGAAAGTAGCATAGTATTGACAAATTGACTGATTGAACAAGATATTTAATTCTCAAAAAATATCAATAAGAGAGGCGATTCGCAAAATAAGAAGTGTTTACTGACTGACGGAAACTGCGTACTGTTTCCATTTCCATGCACCTCTAAGCAATTATTACCGTCCCTCTACTTTTAAGTGTCCTTCATTCGCGCCATCTCCAGGCCAAACGAGACCAAGACCACAAATTGGCATTGCTTCTCTCAATGCAAGAATCGTTGACCGAGACAATTTACTATTACTATGAAAAAAATCTAGTGCTCCCTCGATCCAAATTAATTGACAAACACTTAATACAACTTTAGTACTACAAATTTTTATACCAACAATTGTGCGTCAATTAATATGGATCGGAGGGAGTAACTTAATTTGCCCACATTATTACATAGTCAAGTCTATCTTAATCTGCCTACATGGTCAAATCAAACTTAACTTGCCCACATTACATAGTCAAGTCTATCTTAATACTTAATATGCCCACATTACATAGTCAAATGTATCTTAATCTGCCCACGTTACATATAATATAGTACTTGACACTAATCTAAACAGGATAAAGGTACCACTAACAACACACATCACTCCATAAATAACAGCTTCACTGCATAACATTAAACAGAAACACACATCACCCCAAGCCATTACATCCTCCCTAGACCATAGCCGGGACAAGAGACCATGCGATGGTGACCTCCAGCTTACAAGAGCAAACTTGAAGCATACGCGTGCTTCTGGAGGCTTCCCTGGCTTTGAATGCTTTAGAATCTCCCTCAACAGTTTGATCCTCCAGACAATTTGCCATTGCCATGACAGAGACTCTCAGCATTCCATCAGCTTCGACAGACAAAACACAGCGTGAAAGCTGTATCGTGCCATCAGCTGCAACTGGTAGTTTATCAAAAGCAAGCAACTTGATTTCCATGTCACTGATACTGGCAGTACGGGCAGAAATTAGACCTCCGAAGCCTTCTGGCCATTCCCCATCAACCACTTTCACACTGATGGTGGCCTCCACGGATTCAGCCATGTCACCCAATGTTAATTCCACTGTGCTAAGCTTGCTAGTGTCAACACGTTTAAACATGTGCGATTCACAGCCAGATTCACGATAATTAACAACTAGATAGCTCAAAGCTCTATCCTCAGATTCAGTTCTGCCCTTCACTTGCAAGTCAACCTCAAAGTAAACAGGATCCACAACAACAATAGCACGGGTAGGACCTGTCAGTGTCAGACATCGATTCTGCATGCAAAATTTACAAAGTAAATTACTGGAACGACTGGATTGAACGATAACCAATCTATGCTGACACCAAGGAACAGTGCGGCCATGGAGAAGTGATATATTTATCAAGCTAAACTTACCAATAAGAGCTTGAATTAAATATCTGTTGCTAGCAAATACTCAAATGCAGAAGTTGCCAAGACCGTAACGACCAATAAATTCTAGTTGGGTCAGCAAGCATGCAGATCTTTAAAAATCTCGTGTTTAAAGAACCAATTTAAACAAGCAATATGTACACTGAAGCAAAAGGAGAGGCAAACATTGAACATCATAATCAAAACATATACTAGAAAACTGTACTTAGGATGCAACGATTTAGAGGCAAACAAAAATATTCGTTAAGGTGGGCATATACTCTAAAACAATTATTAAGAGATTCATTTGCCAATAGATTGCAAACAATGCTAAAACTTTTACAAGCAGAATTTCACAGGAGAAAAGAAACTGGTCTAAAACAAACTGAGGGGGGAAATAGACTCAAGAATCTGCTTATGCACTGTGGGGGAACATTGTCAAGGGCCAGTTTTTCTCAAAGGGAAACAGTCAAGAGAGGGTAAAAGTTGCAGGCACTATTCCCCTATATCGGCCTGGAAGAGATTTACACTAACTTGACATTCAAAATACACAGAGATTATACTCAAACTCGTATGTTGATATAGTAAACAAACATGAAAACAGAGTAGGGAAGCAACAACTATATCAACTTAAAAGAATAATTTTGAGCAACACAAAAGCATACATGTAATTTCATCTAGTTGATTTCTTATGTGACATGCTTTAAGAACTTAGAATATTTTGCAGAAAAAAAGCATCCCACTTACACTTGCATACTTTATAACGATCCATGGATTGATCATTCAGTATGTTTCCCTCTAACCATTGGCAATAGGTACTACAATTTTTTTCATAGAACTAGTTCAGAGTAGCAATCAGGTTTACAATGGCTGGTTTATAATCACCTAGTTCATGCATGTAACTTGGTAGCAATATCACGGACCCTCGCAGACTTATATATCTGTATTGATATGAATTACTATTTGCAATTATAGTTCAGAGAAATTAAATGCACTGATGTTAACACATGCCAATGAGCAGAATTTAAATCTCTAATTTCATCATATATATCTCCCAATAGTCCAGTACATTTTGTACATTATTTAAGGGAAAGTCATGTGAAAACCAGAACAAATAGTGTTCACAGAGGTAACATAGGCACCAAATAAGTGTCGAGACGAATATACAAACCTCACTGTCGATGGTTTGGCAGTTATCCCTTTGACGGCGAAAGATAATGTTGCGATTGTGATCCAACGAGTCGCGTGCGGCAACGATACCAAACACATCCAGCGGCCACCCCAATTCCTCTGCGATGGCTGCAACTTTGACCGAAAAGACCTGCAGAGTTCGCACGGGGTACACGTCTTGCGGAGGCTTCTCGTCCGTGTACCGCATGGGTTGGATAAGCGCTGCAGATTGATGTCAATCGATCAAGACTATTTGGTTAGATATTTCCAAGAGCAATTGATCAGGAGGTAGATAGGGGAAAGATTTGGGTTTGCTTACTGATGTCCTCCCATTTACCGAAGGAGCCGGCCCATAGAAGATCCCAGAATTCACGGTAGTCCTTGGCTCGTTCGGCCGGCCAGTCGGTAGGATCTTTTGGCTCCAGCTTCATGGCCTCCACATTTTCGGCATCCACTGGTCCGAGACCTCGATTGCTTCGGGATCTCCCGTGGCGATCCACTTGATCACGGCATCCAGCTCCGCCTTCCGGTCCTGGATCCTGTACGCTTCCTCGCCCTTGGCTCTGTACACGGCCGCCGCCGCGACGTCGTCCTCGGTCATGGTCTTGGGCTTACGGCCCTCCCCGCTCTTCACTCCCACAAGCTTGACAATCTTTGCGTTTATGATCTTTTTTCTCCTCGACAAATTCGATTTCGCTTGACTGATCGACTCCACTGCCCCCTCTTCGTTGTCGCTCTCCTCCACTGGATCCGCCGCCGCTGCCGCCTTCTTCAAGCCTACTCCCGCCGCCGTCTTCCTTTTCTTCATTTCGCCGCCGGAACCACTCTCCCTTCTCTCCGCCTCCTCCTCCGCTTCCTCCTCCTCCAAGAACGCCTCCATCCTATCAGCCCAATAAAGCTCAATGTAAGAATCGATTTCCTCCTGCGTCTCCGCCATCGCCGCTCTCCTTGCGGAAGAAAACCGTAGATCGATCTATCTTCTACTCCGTTCTAGTTTTTTTTTTTTTTGAGAAAATTGGCTATTTGTCATTTTTTTAGAACGAAGACCCCAGATGCGTCCGGCTTTAAATTAATAAAGCCCCAACGGCAGCGTACCACAAACCAAGTCTTAATACAACACCAAAAGCCCTGCCGGCTTGAGCACCAAAGTTCAGATGAGACTAAAAACAAGCCGCCAAACGAGATTACAGGACAGAGCCCGTACAGAGCACGCAGACTCGTCAAGCAACAAAAGAATTGAAGTCATGACTCCCTAGCCATCGCATACACTTGCACCAGTCGTTGTTGGGCGGTCTTGATTAGCTCAGCATCCTTGCGCCTCCCCAACGGACTCCATTGCTGCAATAGAAGGTTGCATTTGAAGATGATATTAGCGGGATGATTTGGGAAGCACCCTTCTATAGTAAACTTGTTCCTAGTTAGTCATAAGGCCCAGAGAAGTGCCCCAACACATCTTCACATAACCCGATATGCTGGGCCCTTAATCACATCAAGGAGGTTGAAAAGCTCAGTAGCCGAGCACGGGTCCCAAAGGACACCTTCCGCGGTGCGGACAGCACTCCACGCAAACCTTGCTAACGGGCACCGGAAAAACACATGATTGGCATCCTCCGGTTCCCCACATAACACACACGGACCCGTGGCCGGCCCATTACGTTTGGCTATGTTCAAGGAGGTGGGAAGCCTATCGCGAAACAGTTGCCATATGAAAAGTTTAATCTTCAAAGGCATCCGCGCTTTCCATAATCCTGCAATCACGGGCTGTGTCGGCCCTCGACACAACTTGTGGTATAAGGAGTTCACCGAGAATTTCCCCGAGTTAGTGAGCGCCCAACTCACCGTGTCAGGTTGATCCGAAAGACCCACCGGATCGATTAATTGCCTCAAGGCCGCGAGGCTTGCCTGCTCGGGTCCGTTGAGTTCCCGTTTGAACTGAGTCTCAGGTGGCGTCGCGGCAAGCGCATCCGCCACCGATAACGCGGTGTCAACGGCAATATCGTACAAACCCCGGAATTCTATCCAAAGGGGTTGAGTACCTATCCAAAGGTCAGTCCAGAAACGCGCAGATTGAAGGAAATATGCCCTAGAGGCAATAATAAAGTTATTATTTATTTTCCTTATATCATGATAAATGTTTATTATTCATGCTAGAATTGTATTAACCGGAAACATAATACTTGTGTGAATACATAGACAAACCAAACGTCACTAGTATGCCTCTACTTGACTAGCTCGTTAATCGAAGATGGTTATGTTTCCTAACCATAGACATGTGTTGTCATTTGATTAATGGGATCACATCATTAGGAGAATGATGTGATTGACATGACCCATTCCATTAGCTTAGCACCCGATTGTTTAGTATGTTGCTATTGCTTTCTTCATGACTTATACATGTTCCTATGACTATGAGATTATGCAACTCCCGTTTACCGGAGGAACACTTTGTGTGCTATCAAACGTCACAACGTAACTGGGTGATTATAAAGGAGCTCTATAGGTGTCTCCAAAGGTGAATGTTGGGTTGGCGTATTTCGAGATTAGGATTTGTCACTTCGATTGTCGGATAGGTATCTCTGGGCCCTCTCGGTAATGCACATCACATAAGCCTTGCAAGCATTACAACTAATGAGTTAGTTGCAAGATGATGTATTACGAAACGAGTAAAGAGACTTGCCGGTAACGAGATTGAACTAGGTATTGAGATACCGACGATCGAATCTCGGGCAAGTAACATACCGATGACAAAGGGAACAACGTATGTTGTTATGCGGTCTGACCGATAAAGATCTTTGTAGAATATGTGGGAGCCAATATGAGCATCCAGGTTCTGCTATTGGTTATTGACCGGAGACGTGTCTCGGTCATGTCTACATTGTTCTCGAACCCGTAGGGTCCACACGCTTAAGGTTTTGATGACAGTTATATTATGAGTTTATGCATTTTGATGTACCGAAGTTTGTTCGGAGTCCCGGATGTGATCACGAACATGACGAGGAGTCTCGAAATGGTCGAGACATAAAGATTGATATATTGGAAGCCTATATTTGGATATCGGAAGTGTTCCTGGTGAAATCGGGATTTTACCGGAGTACCGGGAGGTTACGGGAACCCCCCGGGAGGTATATGGGCCTTAGTGGGCATTAGTGGAAGAGAGGAGAGGTGGCCAAGGCTGGGCCGCGCGCCCCTCCCCCCCTAGTCCGAATAGGACAAGGAGAGGGGGGCGGCGCCCCCTTCCTTCTCTCTCTCCTCTTTCCCCCTCCCGAATCCTATTCCAACTAGGAAAGGGGGGGGGGAATCCTACTCCCGGTGGGAGTAGGACTCCTCCTGGCGCGCCCTCCTCCTGGCCGGCCGTACCTTCCCCTGCTCCTTTATATACAGGGGAAGGGGGCACCCCTAGACACACAAGTTGATCCACGTGATCATATTCTTAACCGTGTGTGGTGCCCCCTTCCACCATAATCCTCGATAATATTGTAGCGGTGCTTAGGCGAAGCCCTGCGACGGTAGTACATCAAGATTGTCACCAAGTCGTCGTGCTGACGGAACTCTTCCCCGACACTTTGCTGGATCGGAGTCCGGGGATCGTCATCGAGCTGAACGTGTGCTAGAACTCGGAGGTGCCGTAGTTTCGGTGCTTGATCGGTCGGGCCGTGAAGACGTACGACTACATCAACCACATTGTGCTAACGCTTCAGCTGTCGGTCTACAAGGGTACGTAGATCACACTCTCCCCTCTCGTTGCTATGCATCGCCATGATCTTGCGTGTGCGTAGGATTTTTTTTGAAATTACTACGTTCCCCAATAGTGGCATCCGAGCCTAGGTTTTATGTGTTGATGTTATATGCACGAATAGAACACAAGTGAGTTGTGGGCGATATAAGTCATACTGCTTACCAACATGTCATACTTTGGTTCGGCGGTATTGTTGGACGAAGCGGCCCGGACCAACATTACGCGTACGCTTACGCGAGACCAGTGCTCCTGACGTGCTTTGCACAAAGGTGGCTAGCGGGTGACAATTTCTCCAACTTTAGTTGAACCGAGTGTGGCTACGCCCGGTCCTTGCGAAGGTTAAAACAGCACCAACTTGACAAACTATCGTTGTGGTTTTGATGCGTAGGTAAGATTGGTTCTTGCTTAAGCCCGTAGCAGCCACGTAAAACTTGCAACAACAAAGTAGAGGACGTCTAACTTGTTTTTGCAGGGCATGTTGTGATGTGATATGGTCAAGACATGATGCTAAATTTTATTGTATGAGATGATCATGTTTTGTAACCAAGTTATCGGCAACTGGCAGGAGTCATATGGTTGTCGCTTTATTGTATGCAATGCAATTGTGCTGTAATGCTTTACTTTATCACTAAGCGGTAGCGATAGTCGTGGAAGCATAAGATTGGCGAGACGACAACGATGCTACGATGGTGATCAAGGTGTCGCGCCGGTGACGATGATGATCACGACGGTGCTTCGAAGATGGAGATCACAAGCACAAGATGATGATGGCCATATTATATCACTTATATTGATTGCATGTGATGTTTATCTTTTTATGCATCTTATCTTACTTTGATTGACGGTAGCATTTTAAGATGATCTCTCACTAATTATCAAGAAGTGTTCTCCCTGAGTATGCACCGTTGCAAAAATTCTTCGTGCTGAGACACCACGTGATGATCGGGTGTGATAGGCTCTACGTTCAAATACAATGGGTGCAAAACAGTTGCACACGCGGAATACTCAGGTTATACTTGACGAGCCAAGCATATACAGATATGGCCTCGGAACACGGAGACCGAAAGGTCAAGCGTGAATCATATAGTAGATATGATCAACATAGTGATGTTCACCAATGAAACTACTCCATCTCACGTGATGATCGGACATGGTTTAGTTGATTTGGATCACGTGATCACTTAGAGGATTAGAGGGATGTCTATCTAAATGGGAGTTCTTAAGTAATATGATTAATTGAACTTAAATTTATCATGAACTTAGTCCTGGTAGTATTTTGCAAATCATGTTGTAGATCAATAGCTCGCGTTGTTGCTTCCCTGTGTTTATTTTGATATGTTCCTAGAGAAAATTGTGTTGAAAGATGTTAGTAGCAATGATGCGGATTGGATCCGTGATCTGAGGTTTATCCTCATTGCTGCACAGAAGAATTATGCACCGCTAGGTGACAGACCTATTGCAGGAGCAGATGCAGACGTTATGAACGTTTGGCTAGCTCAATATGATGACTACTTAATAGTTTAGTGCACCATGCTTAACGTCTTAGAATTGGGACTTCAAAAGACGTTTTGAACGTCATGGACCATATGAGATGTTCGAGGAGTTGAAGTTAATATTTCAAGAAAATACCCGAGTTGAGAGATATGAAGTCTCCAACAAGTTCTATAGCCAAAAGATGGAGGAGAATCGCTCAAC